TGTGGGCGCCGGGACCGCCGGGACGGCCGGGATGGCGGGGCTGAGCACGGCGGCGGCTGCGGAGAGACGGAGACACCGTCAGTGCTGGCACCGGCGACAGCGGCCCGTGTCCCCCCGCCCGCCCCGCTGTCCCCTCCCGCGGCGGGCCGGGGTCTCACCCACAGCGGGGCCGCTGCTGCTGCACGGGGCGGGGGCGCCCGCGGAGCCCAAAACCTGCCCGGACACACCTGGCACAGGTGCAGGGTCCCTAAAAGCCACCCCGAGATGGGGGCGGTCACTCCCCTGCCCCACCTGCCGGGCTCGCCCCCCCGCCTGGGGCAGGGGGTGGCACTCCTGGAGCCCCAAATGTGCACCTGGAGCCCCAAATGTGCACCTGGAACCCCAAATCTGCATCTGGAACCCCAAATCTGCACCTGAAACCTCACCTGGAGCCCCAAATGTGCACCTGGAACCCCAAATCTGCACCAGGTATCACTCTGGAGCCCCAAATCTGCACCTGAAACTCTAAATCTGCACCTGGGGCCCCAAATCTGCACCTGGAGCTGCACCTGGTGTCCCCATTCTGCACCTGCAGCCCTAAATCTGCACCTGAAGTTCCAAATCTGCACCTGGAGCTCGAAATCTGCACCTGGTGCCACACCTGGAGCCCCAAATCTGCACCTGGAGTTCCAAATCTGCACCTGATGCCACACCTGGAGCTCCAAATCTGCACCTTGAGCCTCACTTGGAGACCGAAATCTGCACCTGGGCCCCAAAGGTACCCCAGGTGCCACCCCTGGAGCTGCAAATCTACACCAGGTACCACACCTGGAGCCTCCAAGCCACACCTTACTTGATGCTCAAATCCCCCAAATCCAAGCCCATTTCAGAGCCCTCCTGGAGCCCCAAATCTACCTGGACCTCACCTGTTTCAAGGACGTTCCACACCAGAGTCCCAAGTCTACGCCAGGTGCCACACCTGGAACCCTAAACCTACACCAGGGGCCACACCTGGAGCCCCAAATCTACACCAGGGGCTACATGTGGAACCCCAACTCTACACCAAGTGTCAAACTCAGAGCCCCAAACATACACCAGGTGCCACACCTGGAGCCCTAAACCTACACCAGGGGCCACACCTGGAGCCCCAAATCTACCTGGACCTCACCTGTTTCAAGAACGTGCCACACTCAGAGCTCCAAATCTACACCAGGTGCCACATGTGGAGCCCCAAATCTACACCTGCCATACTCAAATCCCCTAAGTCCAAGCCCATTGGGCTCCTGAAGCTGGAGCTGGAGCCCCAAATCTACCTGGACCTCACCTGTTTCAAGGACATTCCACACCCAGAGTCCCAAAGCTACAGCAGGTGCCACACCTGGAGCCCCAAACATACACCAGGGGCCACATGCAGAGTCTCAAAGCTGCACCTTATTTGATACTCAAATCCCCCAAATTCAAGCCCATTTCAGAGCCCTCCTGCAGCCACATCCGGAACCCCAACTCTACACCAGGTACCACACCTGGAGCCCCAAATCTACACCAGGTGCCACACCTGGAGCCCTGAATCTGCAGCAGGTGTCATATCTGGAATTCTACACCAGGTGCCACAGGTGGAGCCTCCAAACCACACCTTATTGATGCTCAAATCCCCCAAATCCAAGCCCATTTCAGAGCCCTCCTGGAGCCCCAAATCTACCTGGACCTCACCTGTTTCAAGGACGTTCCACACCAGAGTCCCAAAGCTACAGCAGGTGTCACATGTGGAGCCCTAAATCTACAGCAGGTGCTACACCTGGAGCCCCAAAGCTACAGCAGATGCCACATGTAAAACCCCAAATCTCCATCACGTGCCACACCTGGAGCCCCAAATCTACACCAGGGGCCACATCTGGAATTCTACACCAGGTGCCACAGGTGGAACCCCAAATCTCCATCGGGAGATTTGCTAAATCTCCAGCAGGTGCCACACCTGGAGCCCCAAATCCACACCTCCGCTGCTCAAATCCCCCAAGTCCAAGCCCGGGGGCTCCTGCTGGAGCCCCAGGGGAGCCCGTTCTCCACTCGGTCCCGGCTGTCCGGGCGGGGCGGGCGCGGTTACCTGCGGTTACCTGTGAGATTGGCTACGGGCGGTTTGAAAATCGCCCCCGCAGGTGCCGCCGGCGTCAGTCCCGGGAGCGCGGCGAGCGTTGCTGTGGGAATTGTCACCAGGGCCAGCGCCTGCTGGCCTGTCACCTGACCTGCAATACTGATGGGGATAAGAAGAGGTTGAGTAACTGTCCCTGCCGGAACCATTACTCCTGTCACACCTGTGGCTAAGCTTTCCTGAGCCAACACCTGCGGAGATAAATGAGATTTGAAAGAGAAACACAAATCAACGCCCTGCTCAGCATCAGGGAAACCCCCACAGGGCCCCCCCGCCCGGCCTGGGACCCCCCAGTGAATCCCTCTTGGGTGGGGGCAAAGGGGGAGCCCCCCTGCCTGGTAAGCCCCTGGGGGAAGGGGGACCCGGGGGGCTCCCTGGTGAACCTCTTGGGGGGGGGAAGGCAAAGGGGGAGCCCCCCTGAACTGTGAACCCCTCTCCGTGGGGAGATGGGGGGGAGCTCTGTGAACTGGGGGGCACTGGGGGGCTGTGGAAGAGCCCCTGTGGAGGGGATAAAGGGGGGTCCCCCCTTTACTGCTGACCCCGCTCTGTTGGGGATGGGGGCAGAGAGGGGATCCCCTTTACCTCGGGGTCCCCCCAACTCAGAACCCCTTCTCCATAGGGACACGAGGGGCACCTGGGGCCTCCCTTCCACCCCAGGTCTGCGTGGGGGGACAAAAGGGGTCCCCCTTACCTGGCCACCCCCTCTCCGCGGACACCTCCCCCGGGGTCCCCCCTGGCCCCCCAGCCGCGGGGGACAGTTACCTGCGGGGTGGCCTGCACGGCCAGGTGTGTCACGCCGGGCTGGCTCGGGGCCGGGCTCGAGGGCACCGGGGTGGGCGACGCTGCCTTGGCTTTACCTGGGGGGGGACAGGTGGGGGTGAAAGGGAGACACCCAAATTCTGCATGCCCGGGCGGCCAACAGCCTCCCCAGGTGTGCTCAGGTGTGCTCAGAGCGCGGGGGGACCAGGGCGGTGACACCCGCCACCCCCGGGCTGGCCTCCTCCTCCCCGCGGCAGGAGAGAGGACGGGACATGGGACAGGTGACAGGTGACAGGTGGCAGGAGCCTGTCCTGCCGGATTTGGCCAGAAATCAGTGAGGAATCAAGCGGGATCTCCCCAAAACCTGAGCTGAGGGGGGAGGACCTGGAGCAGGACCGCGGAGCAGCCCAGGTGACACAACCCGGACACCCGTGTGCTCCCGGGGAGGGACCCGGGGACGGGCCCGGGAGGGAGAGAGCCGGGGGGAACCGGGAACGATCCCGGGAATGGGAGAGAGCCGGGGGGCACCGGGAACGATCCCGGGAGGGAGAGAGCGGGGGGGAACCGGGAACGATCTCGGGAATGGGAGAGAGCCGGGGGGACTGGGAACGATCCCAGGAGGGAGAGAGCCGGGGAGAATCGGGAATGGGAGACCCGGGGGCACTGGGAACGATCTCGGGAATGGGAGAGAGCCGGGGGGACTGGGAACGATCCCGGGAGGGGTGGGGGTCTCTCACCTGCCGCCTCCCCGCCGGACGAGCTCGGGGCGCTGGCGGGAGCGTCCTCCACACCCGGGGGGCCCCCCTGTGCCGGGGACCCCCCCGCTCCCTCCCCGGCCGTTTTGGGGTCCCCATCCACCCCCACCTCCAGCACCCGGATGGTCTCGTGGCCGGACATGACAATAACCTGTGAAGGGACCCCAAAATGAGCTGCAGGTACGTCACCCCGCGGCCGCGACCCCCAGGGCTCCCCCGCCTCCCGGGTTTTGAGGTGCAGAGTCCACTTGGACCCCGGAGGAGCGAGGAATGGGTGGGGGAGCCCCAGCCCCCCAACACCTCAGGGCTTTGCTGTCAGCACCCCAAATCCAGGGGCACCCCCGGCTGACACCTTGGGCAGGTGAGACGCTGCCAGTGGTCGCAGCACCCCCAAATTCACAGCACCCCCACACCTAAAGCACGTCCTTACCTAAAGCACCCCAAAACCTACAGCAAAACCTGCACACTGTAGCACCCCCAAACCAGAACCAGCACCCCAAAAACAGAACCAGCACCCCCAAACGGAGCCGGTACCCCAAAACAGAACCAGCACCCCCAAACCTACAGCAAAACCTGCAGAGCTGCAGCACCCCCAAAACAGAACCGGCACCCCCAAACCTAAAGCACTCCGAAACCTACAGCAAAACCTCTACAGCTGCAGCACCCCCAAACCAAAACCAGCACCCCCAAACGGAGCCGGAACCCCCTAACAGAACCGGCACCCCAAAACGGAGCCGGCACCCCCAAACCTACAGCAAAACCTGCACAGCTGCAGCACCCCCAAACCAGAACCAGCACCCCAAAAACAGAACCAGCACCCCCAAACGGAGCCGGTACCCCAAAACAGAACCAGCACCCCCAAACCTACAGCAAAACCTGCAGAGCTGCAGCACCCCCAAACCAGAACCAGCACCCCAAAAACAGAACCAGCACCCCCAAACGGAGCCGGTACCCCAAAACAGAACCAGCACCCCCAAACCTACAGCAAAACCTGCAGAGCTGCAGCACCCCCAAACCAGAACCAGCACCCCAAAAACAGAACCAGCACCCCCAAACGGAGCCGGTACCCCAAAACAGAACCAGCACCCCCAAACCTACAGCAAAACCTGCAGAGCTGCAGCACCCCCAAACCAGAACCAGCACCCCAAAAACAGAATCGGCACCCTGAAAACAGAACCAGTACCCCCAAACCTACAGCAAAACCTGCACAGCTGCAGCACCCCCCGAACAGAACCAGCACCCCCAAACGGAGCCGGCACCCCGAAACAGAACCGGCACCCCCAAAACCTAAAACACCCCCAAACCTACAGCAAAACCTCCACAGCTGCAGCACCCCCAAACCAGAACCAGCACCCCCAAACCAGAACCAGCACCCCAAAGCCAAAGCACCCCAAGCCTCAGGACTCCTCACAGCCGCCGCACCCCAGGAGCCGCTCCCCCCGTACCGGCAGGAGCGCGGCGGGGACACCAAGGGACACGGTGAGGGACCCGAACCCCGCTGCCATGGCCGGGGAGGGGCAGGGACCGGGCTGGGCTCGGAGCCGAGACGGGCACGGCCGGAGGAGAGCCCGGGCGGGAGGGATGGGCTCCTTATCCCGCAGGACAGAGCTGCTATCAGCGGGTCCTGCCCTCAGCAGCGGCAACGCTGCCCCACACCCACCCCGAGCTGCCGGCACGTCCCAGTCCCAGGGACATCCCCAGTCCCAAAGGCCATCCCAGTCCCAGAGACATCCCCAGTCCCAGAGACATCCCAGTCCCAGAGACATCCCAGTCCCAGAGACATCCCAGTCCCAAAGGACATCCCCAGTCCCAGGGACATCCCAGTCCCAGAGACATCCCCAGTCCCAGAGACATCCCAGTCCCAAAGGACATCCCCAGTCCCAGGGACATCCCAGTCCCAGAGACATCCCAGTCCCAAAGGACATCCCCAGTCCCAGGGACATCCCAGTCCCAGAGACATCCCCAGTCCCAGAGACATCCCAGTCCCAGAGACATCCCAGTCCCAGAGACATCCCAGTCCCAGAGACATCCCAGTCCCAGAGACATCCCAGTCCCAGAGACATCCCAGTCCCAGAGACATCCCAGTCCCAGAGACATCCCAGTCCCAGAGACATCCCAGTCCCAGAGACATCCCAGTCCCAGAGACATCCCAGTCCCAGAGACATCCCAGTCCCAGAGACATCCCACACAGCTGCAGCACCCCCAAACCAGAACCAGCACCCCCAAACCAGAACCAGCACCCCAAAGCCAAAGCACCCCAAGCCTCAGGACTCCTCACAGCCGCAGCGCCCCGGGCGGTGCCCCCGGAGCCGCTCCCGGAGCCGCTCCCCCCGTACCGGCAGGAGCGCGGCGGGGACAGGAAGGGACACGGTGAGGGACCCGAACCCCGCTGCCATGGCCGGGGAGGGGCAGGGACCGGGCTGGGCTCGGAGCCCAGACGGGCACGGCCGGAGGAGAGCCCGGGAGGGAGGGATGGGCTCCTTATCCCGCAGGACAGAGCTGCTATCAGCGGGTCCTGCCCTCAGCAGCGGCAACGCTGCCCCACACCCACCCCGAGCTGCCGGCACGTCCCAGTCCCAGGGACATCCCCAGTCCCACAGGACATCCCCAGTCCCAGGGACATCCCCAGTCCCAAAGGACATCCCAGTCCCAGAGACATCCCCAGTCCCAGAGACATCCCAGTCCCAGAGACATCCCAGTCCCAGAGACATCCCAGTCCCAAAGGACATCCCCAGTCCCAGAGACATCCCCAGTCCCAAAGGACATCCCAGTCCCACAGGACATTCCCAGTCCCAGGGATGTTCCCACTGGCCCAGCCCCTCATTTGGGGTCCCAGCAGGGCCAGAACCAGCAGAGCCCCCAAAGTGCCCCCAGACTCATTTCTGGGCTCTGCCCCCAGGACTGGGGGTGACCCCGGTGTTACATCAGAGGGGGTAAAACTTCCCCCAGGAGGTTCCTGGGTGTTCACCTGAGCCTAAAGGTGCATTCCAGCCCCCGAGCTTTGTGTTTCCCCTTCCAGCAAGGCACATCCGAAACAATCCTTCCTTCCTTCCTTCCTTCCTTCCTTCCTTCCTTCCTTCCTTCCTTCCTTCCCTCCTT